GGATATTGCGTTAACTCGTAATGGAACAAGCCATGTCATCGCGCCACAAGGCAATGACTCTAAACTGAGCTTCGAATTTCGCTTAATTGAGGTTTGGATCGCCTTCCCCTATATTTGGTATTCTCCAGACCTACGGCTTAATGACTGCTACTTTATTTACTTAAATCTCAAATAGATGGTAGAGTTAAAATTACTTACATCAAATGATAAATAAGTTCATTTCGAAAACTAATGCATATTTTCAGGGTTTCAATAAATCCCTATTACATCAGCTGTTTTTTTTTTTTTTTTTGAATTTGTCCAATCAGTCAGTGGATGTGCCCTTAAGCACGATCGTCAATAAGTGAGGAAAGAGAAAGATATACACAGTGGCCACTGCTTAGTGAGCATGTGTCTAAGCGGCAATGTTATGGCTTCAACGATTGTGTGCTTAAGCTCTATCGGACGAATGAGAGAGGATGAGCTTCGCCAAAAAAAAAAATTGCTTTTTTTCTTAACCACTTTTATTGATTATTAACCGTTAGAGTAAACAATCAAATGTTCCCAGTTATAATTGGCAAGTAGAGGCAGTCAAGAACACCCTTTAATTTGTTGCCGCCTTATCCTTATCCCCTGCAATCGCTTGTTTACTCCTGCGAAAGCTATGACCATCGTTCGTTGATGCTTATAAGAATAAAATTTCCGTAGCATTTCAATGAGCAAATTTGATTAAAAGAAGGAAAAAGTCAGAATGTCTTTACAGTTCGAAGGCTTTACAAATGATGTTCACAAAATTTCCTTTGTAAAATTTTATTTTCTTACATTTATTCCGACAGCAGGTTTTCAGATATTTGCATATCACTAAATAATAATTGATAAAAAGTTTAATATTTTTCGTACTTACAACAATTTTGATATCGAAATCGCCTTAGAAAACATTCTCTTACCTGCAAATATTAAAAAAAAAAAAAAAGAAAGAAAATTAAATCATAAAAAAAACTATATTGAAGTCTTTCTTATATGTAAATATTATAAAAGAGATTTCTAGAATTCTAAGAATAAAGCCTATCGGCTTCATTGAAAATCCTACCGCACTTGAGATTTGAACTCGCGACCATTGAACGATTAAAATTAAGTTATGCTAGAATATTGAAAAAAATACTTAAAGGTTAACTTTAACATTTTAAATTAAAATATAAATGGCCTACTTTTAGATTAGTTCCTTAAAAAGAAAGAAAAAAACTTAATGCAATTATTTTTCTTTGTTTTGATTTACTTTTCGTGTCTTTCTCTCTCTATTTTTGTTTTTTTTTTTTTTTTTTTTTTTTTTTCTAATTCCCTCTAAGATATTTAACAATTTTAGAGAGAGAATTTTAACATTTGCCTTGATCTCAAAAATAATATGTTTATTATAAATGCCGGTTACCCTCTTTTTTACTATAAATGAGTTGTATAGAAAACATGAAAGCATAATAAAAAAACAAAAAAAAGAAATAAAAAATAAAAAATAGAACCTCACATGTGATTTTTTTTTTTTTTTTTTTTTTTTTTTTTAAACATTAAAAAAAAAAAAAAAGCGAAAAAGAATAAAAAAAACTTATGTGTAGAAAATGTTAAACATGACTTAAGGAAAAACTGCTTGGCGTTCGGTGTTTTTGTTACGAAAACATCTCTTAACTGGAAAGTGAATACAAAGGAAAAGAAAATAAACATATGAGAAGGTTATAAAAGTAAATGCAGCTTAGTCAGTCAGTCATACAACAACAACAACTACAACAATAATAACAAACAACGATTCCACCAACACACTCAGTTAAATACAAACACTTAAAGGTTAAAAAAAAAAAAAAAAAAAAAAAAAAAAAAACAAAAAAAAAAATTTTATATATATACCGGCGGAATTTTTTGTGTGCGTTTACATTTTTTTTAAAATTTTTCGGAAAAAAAAAAAAAAAAAAAAACAAAATATGATAAAAAATATGGAGCATACCAGCACAGAGTAGAGTATGTATCCCCGCCAGTTAAACTACATATACAACATAAATGGTCGGCTGTTTTGTTGTAAGCTCCTAAGAGTTGATGTTCAGATTTTTGGTGGATTTTTTATTCTTATTTTTTTTTTTTTATGCTTTCTTTTATTTCTTTTTAAACTAAAAGGCATTCTCATCTGTATCTCGGTCACATGCGTCTTTTATTGTAAAAATTTTTACAACTTTTCCTGTTATTTTGTTTTCATATATATGTATATATATTGTAATTCTTGTTGTTTTTGTTTATCCTTAAACCCGCAATCGCTCGTTGTACTTATAAACGGTTCTTAACAATTTTTGTTGCTATTTTTCGTCTTTACTAAACGAACGTTTTATAAATTGTCCGTATTTTTTATTCAATGAAAGGAAAAATTGGGTAAAAAATACCACGTGGCATTTGTAGCAAATATTTTAGTTTTGTTTGCGAAAGTCTACTTTCCGGAGTTGCTTTTACTATGAAATTTATTGCATACTTGCAATATTCGCAAATAAAAGTAAGTGCAAACCATTGCATAATTTTAAGTGTTAAATTTTTAAGAAATTAATCGTATATCTGGCATATATGAGAACACTGCAAAAAATGAGGGGATGCCATCCGTTACTGACAATGTATAAAGCAAAAAAAAAAACCTAGCAAGTCATTGACGCTGAGCAGAACGATTTAAAATTGTCAGAAAACTAATACGAATTGTTCATAAACAATTACAAACACCGATGAAAGTTTCCTTGACGAAGCGAAACAAAACCATTTTGACTAATTTCGAGAGACTTGCACTTTTCGATAGGTATAGCAACCCAAGATTCGTTTACCTGTACTGTTGCGAACACTCTATATATCCAATCAATAGAATTGACTAACCATTACCATCAAAAGTCGGAACATTTTATAAATATCCAAAATCAATAAATCAATCAACGTGAAATAAAGTACATAACTCAGATTATTAAGGCTTCCCTTAGCATAATGCTTGCGATGTCTCTGTCACTGCCTTGCGAAGAAGTTTGACATTTAATGCTTACCTCCACTCTAACCTTATAATTAGAAATGCATCTAATCAATTGTGTACAATGTCTTAGTTTCTGACCTGGTTGGCTATACTCAGCTATATTGTTACTGTACATTATACAAGGATATGTGGCCAAGTTTAAGAAACTTTGCAAATTTTGGTAATTTTGTCAAACTTTAACCAAACTCAATTAACCAGTACTCTTTAGCGATAACTTGTATACTCGGCAAATGTACACATCGGTAATATGAAATTGAGTTGCATTGAAATGATTTTTCGATAATGCACTATTCAATTTATGAGGATATTCGACAAGGACAGATGGACGAATCATGACTTATGCACTTGTCATATACAGTTAACTGATTAAAATGTGATATACTCGATTGAGTTAAAATCGTGAAAAGATATCGTCTTTTTTGAGGGAGATCCATAATAGAGTAATGGCTCTGCAGGTGAATCTCATCGAATTTCTTAGAAGCTTCTATTTTGATGTGAATTGCAAGGAAAAAAAGAAAGAAGAAGAAGAAGAAATTTTTATAGAACATCCGTACGCAGACTAACTAGTGTTACTCATGAACATACGGACCATTTTCAGCGACTAAGCATTGCGTCTATTGGTTCGCTCCGCCTTTTGTCCAACGGCTTAAGACACATGCATACAAAACTGTGAAAAGAGGTACAGCTGAACCAAATTCGAAGCCGTAGGCTCTCGATTTGAATTATATGAACAAAAAACGATATGCGATAGATTGTAGATGATTTCGTGATTCGGTTCGCCTTTACCAAGAGATTGCAATATGCGATAAGCGAATGGAATATAATTGAAACTAAATTTTGGGTCAAAAGCTTTTAACAAAAGCAAATATCCTGTAGAAGACTTTCGCCGAATAAAATAATGAAAATAAAAAACATGATTTGCACAAAGAATACGCGATCAAGCGTGTAGTATAAGGCGAAGAACAGGACAAGAATAGTTAAATCTTTTCATTCATTCATATTTCATTAAGTTGGATATTGGAAGCGAAATGACATTAATCTTACGTCGAAAAAATTGTTTTTTTTTTTTTTTTTTTTTTTTTTTTTGCACATTCATTAATAAAAACTATGAGAGGAGAGCACGATTTTTTTAACTAAGCCTTTTCGTTGTTGTATCACAAAGTCTTAATGAACTTTTATTCCTTTAGTAGTAAAAAGGAAATGGAAAAGCATGTCTGTGTCTGTATAACAAAATGCATATATATATATATATATAAATATATGGTTATTCTATCCATATATATATATATATAGATACACATATATATAAATATATATATATATATACATATATATACTACTTCTTTTTGCAATAATATGATTTCAGAGCATGTTGGGTGCAGGAAAAAAAATGCAATTAAAATTAAAACCTTTTGTAAAAGTATGCAAGGATTGGTCAGTAGAATACCAAAAAAAAAAAAAAAAAAAAGAAAAAAAAAAAAAAAAAAAATATATATATATATATATATATATACACTATATGCAAATACACAGGATGGAGTAAAACAAAAAAGAATCTGAGGAAATTAAAAAATACTTTTGGTCACGGACAGAACAATGGAAATAAAATAAAAAAAAAAACCAACAAAAAACCCATTAGAATAGAAACAAATCGTAAAAAATAAAGTACAGAAAAATGTAAATTTTATTAAAAAAAAAAAAACAAAAATGAAGCGAGAAAAAATATCTGCGGAAAACGCCCTGCACTGTGTTAGCAATTAATCAATATAGAAAAAAAAAAAAATAAATAAAAAATTTTCTTGGCTGTACACACCAATACTAACAGAATACCTTTTATAATGTACTACAGACAGACCTTAAGTGAGATTTCTTCGGCCGACACCCCCCGGGTCGTTTTGTTTTGCCGTATCATCATCAAGCGCAACACAAGCCTCAGCATATTTCCGGAATGCAAGTAATTTTCTTGCCATTATACAAGTATACAAAATTAAACGCACCCTCCTACACATAGAATATACATATAAATATATATTCATGTTAATGTGTATGTGTATGTATATGTATGTATACGTATGTATGTATGTGTATGCGTATGCGTATGCATATGTATGTTTGTGTATGTATATGTATTCATATGTATTTATACACATACATATTTATATATCTACATATGTACGTATGTATATATAAGAAGCTAAAAATACACATGTAGGGATGTGTATTATATTATTATTTTTATTTTTTTTTTTCTTAAACAGACAAAAGAAAAATTGTGAACGGATGTGAAATCATCCTCATTATCTCTGTGACTTATAGTCTTCTTCTAACCCCCACTCATTCATTCACTCACTCACTCACTTACTTGCTTGCTTCCCTTGCACCCAATAATATGTTCAGAAGAACCTCTCGGTTTTCAATACTTATACGCATCGTATCATCTGTCACCACAGCCAATACTTATACTTAAACGCATACCCATACATTTGCATACTAATGCATGTACTTTCGACAAGAAAAAAAAAAAAGGGAAAAGAATTCTCCTACCATTGCAATGGAAAGGCTAGTAGTATGGGTTGGGTAAGGAAAAAAAAAATAAAAACACAAAAAAATGAAATAACAACAATAACAAAAACAACAAGAAACACAAGAAATATGTTCATTTCAATCTTCAGAGGTTAATGTTTGCCTTTATTTTTACATCTAAAGAAACAGAAGAAAAAAAAATGGCCGAACTAAAGAAAACTCACATGCAGCCAAGACATATACATATATATATGTGTATATATTACATATATTACATATATATAAAAAACGTATACATTGTGTCATTAATGCAACCGCATACGAAAAGCATTTTCATTCATTTGTTACGCATACAAAAACTCTTTATGCATACGCATACACTTAAAT